GAGTGATTTAAAGTTTGAAAATGAGCAAGAGCGCCGGCCGACCCTAATGTCCTGAATATATATTTAGCTCACTCGACAAAAGCATGGCCAGTATGTATAACATGACATGGGTGATGAACACCTGTCAGCATTCTTCGTCGACGCCTTCATCAGGCCTCATCCTACGCACATCACGTGCCCTTGCACCGTTGTAGCCTGATGACCAAATCGTTAGATGCTATTGGACTGGTGCTTAAAGGACGGCTCATTGGACTAACCTGACTGCCTGCATTGCCATGATGTCGGAGGCGAGCTGTACAGCGTTTACACAATTCAATGTCCATTTATGGGTTAGGAACTTCGGCCAGTAGCGTGCACCCACATTCCAGCATGCATGCCTATCAGCAGTGTAACACAGAGCCCGATGTTACTCTGCCGCGCCCACCAGTGCAAACTGCTCTACTCAAAGTCCAGCGTCCTCGAAGCCCTGTCCGAGCCATCCAGTATCCAACCGGTGCACAACAAGGTGGTCTGCATCAACAAGCCCCGGTCGTAGACTGCTGAGCCGGACGGGTGCCCTTCCGGCGCGGCTCAGAACCCCGGCCAGAGACGCGCGGCGGCCGCTGCAGGGCGTCTTCGGTCAGCCGCTGCGGACAGGCTGTTTGACAGACCATTTAGGGACGGCTGGCTGGAGCCGTCCTTCGAGAGCCCCGGCCCAGAGACGCGCCGCGGCCGCTGCAGGATGCTGCTCCATGAGCCGAGCTACGCGATCATGGCCGCTCACTGCGGCAGCCAGGACGTCCCCCCCCCCCCCCTCCCTCCCCCCGGCGGATATCGGGTATTTGTGTAAGGCGTCTGTCAGCGGACAGGACCTCTCCGCCACTGGAGTGGCAGGCACAGCGGGAGCCCTCCACATGCCAGCCATCGCATGCATGCAATCCCACACATCATTACAGCCGGCTCCCGTTCTTCTGAGCTGACGGGCTTTGCGCCGCACCGTGCAAGTGGCTTTGCAGGAGCAAAGACATTGCTGCAGACGCTTCGACCACGGCCGCCTTCGGCGCTGCTCGCAGTGGCTGCCGGGGAGGGACAAGCAGGCGCACTGCTAACGCGCCCTCGACGGTCGCCGGGAGAGGCAGTAAAGAGGACCCTGGCCGGAGAGGCGAGCAGCGCCCCGCCTCGCCTCCACGGAACAGCCGCCACCTCCACGATACGGGCGTACTGATCGGCAACCCAGGGGGTCTACAAAACTGCCACGCACCACCATCCGGCCGGCTCCCTGCCAACTCGATCGGCACCTGCCCTCTAGTACTCAAGCTCGGTTTGTTCGCTCTTTGCTTTTTTGTCGTTTTTTGTTTTGTTTTGTTAGGGCCGTGCAGCCATGCAGGAGGACTATATACGATGCTCTTTACTAGATATAGCTGCAACAGACGTAGCTGCCGTAGCCAACGGCTTCTGTCGTTGCGATCTCCCAAGCCGGCTTCGGCGTGGAAACCGTCGCACACCCGCTGGTCAACCTCTTATATCGTAACATGCTCCAGCTGATCCCGCAGAATAACGTCATGCACTTCTGATCATGGTACGGTGATGGGTGCGGCTTGACAGCCTTACAGTGGGCTCCCTCCGACCCGTCGGCCACGAGGAATGCTGTCAGCAACGGACGAACTCCATGCCAAATTCGGCACCAGGTTTGTCCTGTTTATAAGCAAAGCCGGCGGGGACAGGAGCGAACGGAGGTTCGCTCACGCACTCGTCAGTATAAACAGGCTCAGCGGGAGGCCGAGCTGCTGAGGAGAAGCCAGCTTTTTGGAGAGCACAAGCACGTGTTGTCCAAAACAGCACGCGGCGTGTGGGGGAGCGTGGCAGCTGACGTGGCGAGTATGGGCGCCGGAATAGAAGCGTGCGTCGTCGCGGACCCACCTGAGGCTCACAGAGACACACAGACAGAAGCTACACGAACAGCTACGCCAGTCAGAAAGCTATGCCACTCTAACTACAGACATATATTTAGCCAATACCATCAGCACGATACCTACGGCACGCGCGCTGCGAGCATACGTGACGTTACAACTGAATTGCTGGCGAGAGAGCTGTGTAATGTCTACACACGCTACGCAAGCCGGCATCATGCTCTATCGGCTGCCTCGAAGGGCAGGCGGCAGCTGGCCGCGTCCAGTCCGCCAGCACGGTCGGCGGGCAGCTGGCCGCGTCCCGTCCGTCAGCACGGTCGGCGGGCAGCTGGCGGGCGGTCAGCACACGTGCCGCCACCTCAGCCGTCAGCGCGTGACTGCTGCTGATGATCTAAACGGTTTGCTTCGCTCATAGCCTGAGCGCACGCTAAAGCACATGGTGCGAGCCGTTCTAATACAGGCTGCTGTCACTCGGCAAATGCTGTAAACGGAAGGGGAACTTCTTCGGAAAGATTGGCGGTTGTATTTGCACTGGCTCGATGTCCATCCACAAGCCGGCTCTTCCTGTTCTCAGCTCGTTACAATGGTCGGTAAGTTCGGTTCGTCACAACACAATATGTCAGATACTATAAACGTACGAAGTCGAACTATGAATTGAATAATTGTGCAGATTTAAACAATGTGTCAAACCCAAATTTCGCATAAGAATTGTTCGTACTCGACTGAAGTGGCAAGTGGGATTTTACGACATTCTACAAAATAACCTGGCCACCATGCTCAATCCATGACAGGGGGGGGGGGGGGGGAGCTCGGACTCCTCCAAATATATGTGAAGCTCTATTTAAGGCTATACATAATGAATGTGTCTTCAGCAATCAGCTCAACCATCTTTCGGCATCCCTTGCTGCTGGTGGCATGTGAGTTTGCGCAGGCAACACGCATGACTATGCAGTTGAAAAACGAGACTTCCCGAATAATTCGTTTTCCAGAAACGAGGTCCCCCGCCGTAAACACGACCGATCGTCCATAAAGCGTTACGGCCCAGCTGACGAGCACACGGCCGAGATTTGCGGCTCTAAAGGGCACAGGTGCCACGCTGTTGGTGGCAGGCCATGACCTACTATGACAGCATCGCGTTGCCGACGGCTACACCGGCTCAGCTATCACCGCTCCGAAGATCTCAGAGGTTGCAAAAAGAAAGAGGACCGATGTCCGATTTGAGTGTGAGTGCTGCCGCCGAGTGATTCATTACGCTTGTATCTCTTTTTGGGCATCACATGTGGCTTACTTTCGCCCTAAGTTCTCTTTTTACCGAGCAATATTTTCCAATGCTGTGTCTCGACGCGGACTTTGAGGAAGTAAGTGTGCGATAATGCCTCCATGCTGTGTTTTGGCCAATGACACTTTTGTAGACGACAAAGCGTAACACTAGGAAATATTTCAGTTGTCCGGGATTTGCTAAGGTTGAATGAACCACAGAAAGCTGACTGTTGTACTCGTTATGGAAAAGTAAAATTAGTAAACTTCGTGGCAGTCATAGCCGTTACAGCGTCTGAAATATGCCAAAGCTCTTATTGGACCCCCTACAAAGGCCATGAACGAAATGCCCACATTACTATCGCATTTTTATTTGTATGAGTTGCGATATATAAAGAGGCTACGCTTCGTTAATTACTAACGGCGCGGATGCGGACACGAAATATAATAACCCGATTGACCAAAACACGCTTAAGCCGGGGAAAAAGCAAACATTCCAGTCCCAAAAGGGCTCATCGTCCCCGCGCTGGACTAATAACAGCGATCTGCTACAGCTGTACTTAGCACAGCGAGACACGTTATTCTGAGCTCTCCCAGCAGCGCACATCTCCTCCAACAACACCCGATCCCGACAACAAATGTCAGGCCCTGTTGATATTCACCAACTGAAAGCACATTCCCACGGCCTGAAATATCCAACGCATCGCGTCCACCATAAGTAATCACCATACTTGGTTCTCGAATAAGCTCAGTCGATCGTCGTTAAAGTGCTCACTGTTGAAGCTATTGGGGCGGCCACGATCGTAATCACCCTACATCCTTGCGGAGCCCTTTTGTCTTCATCACACCTCTGATTGTTACCCCGCTTTTGTGGACTCGCCCGGCAAGATTCAACAAATGGATACATAAATACGCCCTTGTTTCACGACCGCGCCTGTCTTATCAACCAGTTAGCGTTAGTAACCCAGCTACATGTACCAACACGGTAATGTCAGCCCTCCATTGCCATCTGATGAGACACTGCCCAACGTAGTGCGCTCAAGCAACCATTTTGTAACGCTACATTCAGACTTCGGCGGCTAAGGGGCGGAGGGGGGGGGGGGAGAAGGAACCATTTGGTCGGTTATAGGGCCGCAACACGCGCTGAAAGACGTTCTGCCACGTGCGATACAGGACTGGAGAGCTGACATAAATGCCACCAGAGGTCAGTGTTCTTCTGCTGTCCAGAACAAGGAAGCGCCCTGAGGAAGGGAACGGCCGGAAGTATTTTCGAGTTAACAGTTCCCGTGCATCATTATAAGGTTGTCAATATTTCACGAGAGGTGAGAAGATCATGACCCCGCTGCCTCTGGTTCCTACAGTCATGCTACTATCACTGCAGAGGCACGCAACCCACGTTAAGCCCTTAAGTAATTCTCATCTTAGCAAAATGCTCATCGCTACTTAAAACAAATAACTCAGACCACATGCAGCAAACATCAAAGCACAGCCGATAGACACACAACCTTGACAGGCTTGCAGAAAAGCTGAATAAATAATGGGGCAGAAAATCAGCGGGCGAGAGTGGTTTGCAACACTAAAACTCACGTAAGATGTTTTCATAAGCCTCCAAGCATTGGCATTGTATGCTCCAGTTTCCACGAAAATGTTTTGCGGCAGCCTTCATGTGCACCAAAAACGTCTCCCGCTGACAAAAGCAGGGCCGGAAGCCTTCGACAGCACGTTAAAAAAGGCACATTGAACGGGGCGCGCCGACCCCAACTGACCGCGGCCACGCACCGCTGGCCACGGCGTCAAGCGCAGGCAACAAAACAGGGACGGCAGTCGGCGACGGCCGAACACAGCGTCACCCACCTGATGTGCATCATGGTGTGGATGGACAAAATGGTGCCGAGGCCGAAGAGGAAGCCGTTGAACTGGCAGAGCGCCTCGCCCAACACCCAGCGGCCCTGCATGAGCGTCACCAATGCCACCGGCATGTTCAGGGCGGCCACCAGCACGTCCGTCACCGCCAGGTTCACCAGAAACAGGTTCGTCCGCGTGCGCATGGCGCGGAACCGGCACACGCTCAGGATGACCAGCATGTTACCAATCAGGCTGACCACCATGAAGACGGCGATGATGGCGCTTCAAGACAATGACGAACGGCCGGCTGTACTCGTAGACGATGTGGTCCATCGGTACGAAGTAGGATGAGTTGCCGTAAAACTGCAGAGGCGAGTGAGCCGTGGGTTCCTCCATCCAGGTGGGAGCGGGGTCATGGGAGGTCACAGGAGCCGGCGAGGTCATATTCATTCCGGAGATCGGTCACGGTGGTCAACTGGGACAATCAAACGAGCGGGTTAAGCAAGGGTCAAGTGAGTGCGTTAACCGGTGGGCAAGGTCGCGGTGTGAACGGTGCGGAAGGTCAAGATAAGACAGGCAATGATGAGGGGCGCAGGGACCAGGTCACTGTCCCCCGCCGTGGCCCGTCGCTCTCGGGGAGCACGGCAAGACTGGCACGCGCCGAGGTAGGGACCGACGAGCACTGGCCACTCCTGGTGTGCCGCGCTAATGCAGCGCCGGGGAGAGCAGGGAGGGTCAGTCAGACAGAGCCGACCTTCCTCCCACTAGTCCAGCCTCCTCCTCGGCGCACCGAAGTCTCGCGGCACAACAGCGTCAACAGGGCGCCTGCTTCACGCTCTACAGGAGCCCCGGCCGGCGCGACTGCCACTGCCCGCCCGCTTCAACGCGCCTGAGCAGTGCACTGCAGTGTGCCGGCCGGCCGCGGCGGCCGCCGGGCGCGGAGGGGCGGCGCGCGCAGGCCCGGCCGCGCCGCGCCGGGCCGCTGAGGAACTCCACGAGCAACAGGATACCGGCGCGACTTTGCCGACGGGCGCGTGTCACACTTGCAGCTAAGCACTTTCGGCGGTGAGCGCGTGACCACTACTGGGTTCGTGGGGTCCGGTCCCTGGTGATCTAATCTGTCTGGCTAGCGCATCTGCTGGTGGTTCGCTCCGCTCTCCGCCACTTGAGCGCGGCGCTCGGGTCGCCTCTGGGACAAAAGTCGAGACGCTCGTACGGTCGCACCGGGGGCAATATCATCGTCACACACCCAGCCGGTAGTCACCCGGACACGCATCGAGGTAGGGGGGCGGGGGAGGGGGAGCGGAGATTGGCGGTTATCGCGCGGAACGCCTGATTTACGGGACCCGCCAGCAGAGGACGCGGGACCGCGCTCTTCCGACGTCAGAGGCGCGACGGGGGCGCGATAGCGGGGCGGTCACGGCGGCCGCCCCGAGGCCACGGCGCGGACCGCGGCTGGGGTGCCGGGAGGCCCGTCACGGCACCAGGCGTCGCCGTTGTTTGTCAGCCAGGTCGCACGCGCCGCAGAGCCACAACGTTATCGGCTGTTGGCTGTGTCTGATTGCCCGCGACCTGCGCGGCTGCATATCTGGACAGCGTTACGGACGGGGGAGGACCACCACCGTCGGGGAGGGAGCACCGCCCTCTGTGGAGGGAGTGCCTACCGCCTTCTGGGGGGAGGGGGGGAGCACCGCCTTCCCCAGTGATGCATTCGTCCTCACCAACGCCGTCAGAAAAGTGCAATGTTTAGGTAAGTATCTTGTTAATGGTCAAACCAAGAACAAGCGACATACGCAGACACACAGCGCCAGCCAGCGGCGAAGTTTTTTGTGGATTCTAGGCGAGATGACAATGGCCTTAAACTTATGAAAGCACATTGAAACAAAGCCGACCTACGCGGACGCCTCCAACCAAGCTGCAAACTGATCCAGCCCAAACTTCATACTGATCCGGCCCGAACACTCATCACAAAACATGAACGCCAGCAATGCTCGAAGTGCAACTATTCACAGGTCTCTAGCGCATCACAGCTGCAACACACGACGCCATCCGCCAGCTGACCGCAGCATCCATCGAATGCCTGTCTGGGGCGGCACGAGCCTATACTGCGCCGACGCACGGGCCTTTGTGGCTTGACAACAAATAACGGCGACAGCACGCAGAGCCACACCGTCGCCAGCACCGACGCGCTCGCCCCTACCCTACCCGCGGAGCAGAGCGGCAGGTCAGTCGGCGCTGCCCCACGCACGCCTGGACCTGTGTCATCAGCTGGAGCTGGGTGGCGCGGTTGGAGCAGCTGCGGTCGGCGGGATAGCGTGGCGTCTGTGGCGCGCCGCAGCTGGCTCCGACCGCAGAGGGCCGCCACGACCGGGACCGGCCCGGCCGGCTCAGCGCCGCCCGTCTGAAACACACAGCGATGGCGACGGCTCAGGATAGTGCGTCTGACGGGGTCCGCGCAGGCACCGGGGCTGTCCGGGTCAGGGTAGTGCGTCTGACGGGGTCGGCGCAGGCACCGGCGCTGGACGGGTCAGGGTAATACGTCTGACAGGGTCAGCGCAGGCACCGGGGCCGTCCGGGTCAGGGTAATGCGTCTGACGGGGTCAGCACAGCCGCCGGGGCCGGCCGACTCAGGGTAATACGTCTGACAGGGTCAGCGCAGCCGCTGGAGCTGGCCGGGTCAGTGTTGTGCGTCTGACAGGGTCAGCGCAGGCATCGGGGCTGCCTGGGTCAAGTGGATCTCCTGAAACGGTTACACGGCTTGACGATTACATTTTTAATGGTTCTAACGGTTGCACTTCTAACGCAGTTACTGCCGAAAGCTTAACCTTTACCATAAGCCTTCGAAGGTCACTTCCATTATTCTTCTATTTACTACTTATTTGCTTATTACTTATTCATTTACTATTTACTATTTATTTATTCATTGTTCTCCAATCACTTCTACGAGACAATGCTTCCTACCCAAAAACTCATACCACAAAACCTTTAACACGAGATAACACAAGACGTCTACCTTCTGATAATAATCGCTACTTAAGTCAATAGTAGCGCGACTAAAAAATAAGGCAAATCTCATACTCGACATCGCTTCTAACCCAATGACTGCTCATCCGTGACATCTCCACGACAGACCCTCCAACACAAGAAGGCTACACGACACACCTTACATGCAAAATTTTCAACTACCCGTTACTTCCAGTGCAATCACTTGTGATGCAAGAACTTCTAGACGATAATCCTTGTAATGGAAAAACTTCTGCGCGCTGCATGGAGCGGCCGCGGCCTTGCTGACAGCGCGCCGGTCTGAGGGCCGCGGGGATAGCAGCTTGAATCCCAGCCGCCTCAGTCGTTGATCTCCACAGGCAAAGGCGAGCCAACATAGAGTCAAGTCCTGCCAGCTCCACCCCTGACCTCTCTCAATTATTTACCGCGTCGGCCTCAATACTGGCAGGAGCGCGCCGTCTCGGCACCTCCCGTGGTGATTCAATCCGCCTCGCTTATTAAGTTCTAGCATTGGACACCACTACTACCCAATTACACAGGTCCAGTCAGGCTAGGTCAAATCACACCCCAGCTCGGAATCATGTGCATTAGGTACTGGCAGGCGGCCATGAAACGAAACGAATGCGTGGTGAGAAAAGATACGCCAAATTTTGAGTTATGGTCTCAAAATACTCCACGGACAGAATGTTGAAGAGCTTGTGAGTCGACACTGGTTCAGGGTTGCGGCGACCACTAGCCTGCCGAACTCAGAAGCAATGGTACGTGCCCAGCACTGGGGTCGGTCGTGGGCACTTTGAGCCGTTTCTTTCCATGCATCACCATAGGCTTGGTGCTTAGTTATCTCAAATGTGGGAGGGGGTTTCAAGACCCCTCCCCCCCCACCACCACCACCCAGGGCCCCCATAACGCGGCAGGACCAGCCCATATGGCCGACACGTTATCACCGGCTCCGCGATTGCCCTTTCATTACAACTACTGCTGCGTCGGGGGTGAAGGTCCAGTGCTAAACAATGCTCGATGCAAAGAACGCCATCCCACGAGCAGCGCCTGTCGAAACTAGTTGGCAAAGCCCTGCCCGTCCCTTCACCAGCATCGATCTCAGCAAGGTATTCGGTGCATTTGACGTCAGGGTTTCCGCCGACTCTAACGGTCAATCGATTTTTAGTTACCGATCGTCGTAACCAAGCCACGGGCCCAAGTCACAGTGCACCTCCGGTAACTAATCAGTCACTGATCTGTTGTGCATTTAATGCTCAGCGCGTTGCTCAACGACGTTTTTCTGGGTTTCTGGGTATGGGTTTTGTCTTAAGTCTCCGCTGGGCTAAATTCGGTGCGCCTAGCTTTGGACATTGGGAATACATTATTCTTCAGCATAGGGCTAAAAGTGTCTTACTCTTTAAGGTGTATGATCTTGTTATCACCTGCTTGGTTTAACGCTGAATAGCAAATGTAAACATTCTTCAAAACGCACTCGTCTGTGCGGTAAAGCGAGCCCATCTGCTCCTGTAATAGAGCTGGTGAGTTTTGCGCTGCGGTTGGTGATGTTCATGGTATCGCCTCTATCTGCTCTGTCGTAGTCCTAGTCGTCTGCATCACGCGGCTGCTGCCACCGCGCTGGTGCTGCCGCTGATCGTGCTACCGCTGTTGCTGCTTGTCCCGCTCCTGCTGGTGATACTGATCGCCACCCTTGTCTGCACAATCACTTCGTGCCTCAGTTTTGTAGTGTTCGCCACGCACACGGTAAATACCGGTCGGCGTTTCCTGGGCGTCAGCTGGGAAACCGTGTGGTGTAGGTTCTGTGCCCGTTACCTCGCGGAAACTGGGGCAAAACCGGTTAGCACTACCTCGGTATCCGTATAACCTGAAAAGTTCAGGTCCTCAGTTAAGCAAGAAAAATCAGCAAATGCCAAGCCACCATTTTCCCGTATGCGCACCAAATAGCGACGAACAGTTTCGGTTAGTGTTCAGTGGTGCAGTAAAACCGAGCAAGCGCCGACCAGCCTCTGCCCGGTGCCCGCACAACGAACAAAGCCATCTCAACTTTACGTCAGCGTCTCTGCGAAAACTGAGCATAAGGCGATCGGCATGTGGTCTATGACCGCGCAAGAAAGCGAGTACCCCGTATCTAACTCGGCAACCGGTAGGTGATCGAGTCGAGATTGGTCGGTGCGGGCCGAGCCTGTCCGTCGCAGAGCATTTGGATGTGTCATACGTTTATCAGTCGCTGATAAGTGATCACCCGTCAGACCGTGCGCGAGGGAACCAAAATAGACTGTTGCCGAGGAAAAGCCGACTGCATCGATGGCCGGCACGCTATTTTCCCGATTCGGCAGCTCTTGCGGTTCTGCTAGACGTTGCCAACGCCACGAGACTGGGCATGTGTCGAAATGTTAACCATGCTTTTTAAGTGGCACATAGTGATCCCATCAGTCAATCAATCAGTCAATGCCACTCAATTTCAGTTGATTTGCATAGAAATGCATTGCGTTCTTTTACTGCACAGCGCACGTTCGCAGATGCCGCAGATGACGACATAAGCAGATGTGTATGATGCAGAAAGTGAATTTGTTGTGATAGGTGCGGACCTATATTAAGCAGGTAAGCCAGTTCCGCAATGCCGGGATATTAAGACAGTGGTATTGGCATTGGAATCCTGGGATCCCGGACCGGAAAACTTTTCAATCGATGTTCCTAGTCATAAGCTTTGTCGCGGGGAACTTCTCGCGCTGGATTTATTGTCGCGAAAAAATCTTGCATCAGAAGTGACTTTGCGTGGAGGCTTTTGCGTCAAAGTTTTGTCCTGTACATATTTTTGCGGCGCAAGATTCGACGCGCAGAATATGAGCATCAGAAGTTTTTACATAAGAAGAGCCGTCGCCCAGAAGTTTTTGCGTGAGAAGT